CTTCATATTTTATTTTTTATTTCACTTAAATATATTTTATCTCTCTATCATTTCTTTCTTTCACTTATCTATTATCTTTCAATATCTCTCCTCCATTTCTCATATTCTATTTTCTTTCTCCCTTTTTCCATATCTCTATGTTTCCATTTTCTTTGTTTTTTTTCTTCCTATTTCTTTTTATCTTCCTCCTCTTTCTTTTTTCTCCTCCCTCTCTCCCATTTCTTTCAAAGTCGACATAAAACTTATTAATAATTTTATTATTATTGAATATTCAAATTTGAAATTCTTCATATTTTATTTTTTATTTCACTTAAATTGGTGAAGGATTTTTATCACTCTACTTGGCAAACGAACCAAGCTTCGATGTAATATTAAAGTATCGTCCTCGGAAATTTAAGATTTTAATTAGTAATTCTTACTCTAATGATTTACAAAGAGACATTGATATGATTGCAAGTGAATTGATATGAAGTAAAATAGAACAATAATGTAAAATTTATAACAATTATAAAAAGCAAGGATTGGACTCAGGAGCACTTGCTAACTCTTAAATCTTCTTAAAATAAATATGATTTCAATTCATTACTTCCACGTTCATTTAGTAACTCAACAAGATTCCTCAAAGTTGAATCCTAAAGTGATTAATCTAAAACATGATTCCTCTATGATTTGAGATTAACACCTTGCATTAATTACAATAACTTGAACAAAGGTGGCTAATCAAATCCAGTTTATTCTTAGATCAAGAGATGACTAGGTGCAAGATTCAGTTTGGCTTCTCGAAAATGTTTTCCAACAATATTCAAAAACCAAAAATTCATACAATGGGTGATCAAGCCGAAATAAGCATTAAGATAAGAATCAAACACAAGTAATGAAAATGAAATGCATATATAATCAGGAAGTAAAAGAGTTAGTAGTTACACCAGGACCAATCCTCAAAGGTTTCAGCCACTCATGGCTATTACAAGATCAAAGGGAAAGAAGAAGAAATTACAAAGATAAAGATGAAGAAAAGGGGTTGATCCTTGTTCCCAAGTGATCCAACTTCCAATATTCTTTCCAACTCTGTTTTTCCCTCTTTGTAAGCTCCTAATTCTATTTCTGCCCTGTTTTCGTTCTTTTCTTTGTCTCTCCTCAGTCCCCCTTTTATACTGGCCTTCAAAACAAGAGAAAAATCCAAACTTTAACCCACCGCTGCAATTGTGAAACCACAACCATGGTTGTGCAGAGTCCTTCATGTTTAAGTAAGCTCCATGGTTACAACTGTGAAACCACAACCACATAGCTGTTGAGAGTCCTTCATGATTAAGTAGACTGTAGACCCAAGCGTTGTAGCTATAGAGTCCACAACCATGGCTGTGACTCTTTGGAACTTTTCTTGATCTTTAATGCTCCATGGCTCTAGTTGTGGGCCCACAACTATGGCTGTAAGTCTTTGGAACCTTAATTTTTGAACTCCAGATTTCCACGGCCATGGCTGCAGAACCACAGCCATGGCTACAACTTTCTGTCTTCCTGATTTCTCCCCAAATTCTCACAACCATGGCTGCAAAACCACAACCATGGCTGCAGAATTTTGTCTTCCACAAGTTTTTTGCAAACAAGGGAGAAAATTACCATTAAATTTCTACTACTCATCTATCTTCTAATATAAACTTGGTTTTTCCTACATAGGGGTCAATTATAATAAATATATTTACAATTTATCCAAAAAGAGTGCCAAATGCTCAAGCAAATACATGAATAATAGGCACTCAACAACTCCCCCAAACTTAGTCTTTTGTTTTTCCTCAAACAAAAGTTCAACCAAGTCAAAACTAACTAACACACCACTTCTAAATCAATAGGTTGCTTCTAAATCAACAAAAGGAAAAATCATCCATTAATTCATCCACACAAACTATTTTTTGCTCACTTGAGGTGCCCACAATATCAATCAAGCATAATCAAAAAGATTGTAAAACATATCACAACATGAAAATTACAAATTAGTGACTCAACAATACACTCATAAAAATAACTCTCCAAGGGTAAGTGCTTCTCTCATTTCTATTCACCATTTCTATGAGCATAAGCATTGATATCATCTTTCCATCATTACTCTTTGAGAGAAAATTTAGGATCACAAGGACTTTTGAGGGTTATATTAGGGCTTGGCTACAGGGAAACATGGTTGTTCTGGTCAACAAGGTTTAAACTCAAGAGAGAAAAATGAAAGTGAATCATATAACTCTACCTTGTTCACGCTTTCTATTCAACTCCAACCATATCTCTCAACCCAAATTCTTCCTTCCATTGAACACCCTTTCCCTCAGGACTTTCTGCCTAGATTTCAAGAACCCGCTCTCTTTTGAACTTTGTATACAAGTGCTTGCCTATCTTGTTTTTATTTTTGTTTTTGTTGTATTTTTTTAATGAAAATAAAACAAGCACAAGTAATGCTTTTGGATTGAATTTGAACAATGATAACAATAGAGGGGTAATTCTTTCCTTCACACTTTTACAATAAACTGATTTTGATCTTTTCCCTCAACCTTAGCAATTTTCTACTCTCCCCAACTTAACCCCAAATTCATTTTCATCATGCTCTCAAGGGTTTGGTCAAGGTGAAAAATTTGTATTTGGCATGGCTAAAGGTTTAAATGAAGGCTAAGTCTCAAATCAAAGAAGGGATTTTTCTCAACTATGGGCTAACTGTTTGGCTTTAGGCTTAAAAAGAATTCAAGTATGAACAATGAAATGCCTTGATCCTGTCCAGAACTTCTCACAAGAGCAATATTTCAAGACTTAACCAATGCAAACACATATATTATGATGATGGTTCTCAGAATTAGAAGTGTATATGTTATATGCATTGTTTAGTCACTCTCACTCACTAGCTTGACTAAATATTCAATCACTAATATTTCTTGCCATATTGATCAAATGTCTCACAACTTCATGATCAAACAAAAATTGAATGAGTGCAACCTCAAAATAAGCCTTATAACAAACCATTCTTTAGTTGAATTAAGAGATGAATTTTTTTTTCAAGTTTTTTATTTTATTGATTTGAAAGCAACCATATTAAATCACTTCAATTAAAACCAAGAAAGATTGTCAGTTCTTCCCAAAAATTGTTCTGTTGTTAGCTTTGAATAAACCACATGTTTCGCAAAAAATATATTGTCCAAGCTACTAAAAACAATCAACAGTGCATTATCCAAAAAGAAGTAAATATCCACAGAACACGAGTATAAATGCACCACCAAAAAGTATAACCTGCAAACATAAACACCCAAAAGTTCAACCATCCAAGCATAAACAAGTAAATAACCAAGTAGTCTAATTGACAGAAATTTAAACAAACTGGAATTTAAATTGACGAAAATTAAAAGGCTAGAATTTAAAATGACAAGAATTTAGAAGTTGCATGAAATTAAAATGGAACCCTTCGTCATCAGAATGTGGGTGACAGCGATCCTTCGTCATCTCCATCTTGATTGTCTTCCCCTTCATCAGATTCTTCTTCTTTAGAGTCCATTGCATGCTCTTGCTCCCCTCTATGAGTCTGCTCACCACCCCCTCTAGAAAACACAAGACTGTCCCCAAGCAACAAAACTACTTCATTAAATTGCTCTGGTGTAGGTCATGAGTATAAGCTGCCACTGATATCTACCTGATGCAAAAGTATAGTTATAAAAATAAGAATGGAGAGCCAGTTGAGAAATGAGAGGTTTTCTAAGCAAGAGAGAAGAAGAGCCACGAAGTTTTAAGAGTGGTGGTCAATTTTTAAACTGACTAAAACTGTTCCCATGACCCCTATTTATAAGACTTCGTGAGTGGGCGCCATGGCCACAAGCCACAAGCCACAAGCCACCGCTGCGGCAGTGTGAAATTTAAACTTGAAATTTGGCTCTCGAGAGTGGACGCCATGGCTTCCCGGTGGGCACTTCAGCGCTGGAATTTTATTCTTGAGAAAACCATGGCCGCGAGTTGGCACCATGGCTGGGGCCACACAACTATAACTGTGGAATTATTTGTGAAAATTTATACAAAGACAGAGAGTTATAGTTATAGTTATAGTTGTGGCTCTGGCGCCACATCGATGAATTAAGGTGAAAACAATTACATATCCTGAGACTTGGTGCCATAGCTGTATATGCAAGCGCCACAGCGATGACCATTTAATGTTCTGGGAAAACTTTGACCGAAAGTCATCGCCATGGCTACGGTTTTGGCGCTACAGCGGTTGAGATTTTGCACATGAGAAATCTTGACCGAGAGTCACAGCCATAGCGTCGAATTTGATGTTGTAGCGCTGAAACTTAAAATTCTAAGCTTCCAATCAAAGTAAATAACCAATTCACATTCAAAATCACATTCCAAGCAATTGATTCCAGTATGAGTGAACAACAGAATGCTTTAATTTAAACTTCATGAGTCTGCCATTCAAAATCACATTCACACTACATTTTCTTCCTAAGGCATAAAACATAGAGCACCCTTGGAAACTAAACTAAATCAAATTTTTCTTGAGCTTCTTAACATTGCCATTTCAACACCACTATTAAACTTCACATATACTATAAAACATGATCAAAATAACACCTTGCACACTAAGACAATAGGCACCAAAGAATGCAATCAACATAATCATCAAATTTAAAGCATCATCAGGCAGTATAAACACCGAACAACAACAAATCTTGAAATCAAGCATAAAACTGAAAACTCAATAAACATACTATACTACACACTACACATCACAAAACACATTCTACTACACACTAAACATCACAGACACAAAACTCAAAATACTGCACAATAAACAACCACAACCTTTAATATTACACAACACAACACAACATGCATTATGAAATCAAACATACTTATGAACAAAATCTTTTAACTATACACTACACAACACAAAATTCAGAACTTAAAACAGGAATTAAGGCAAGAACATGCTAATTTAATGTCTTTAGGTTGACAATCCCTGCATGATCATGGCTCCTTCAAATGAGTGATGGAAGTGAGTCTTTCAACCTCACCACCCATGTACTTCTAGTGGCAGGATCTTCAAGCTCAATAGTCCCATATGATTTAACTGACTTGATTGAGAAGGGGCCTGACCACTTAGATTTGAGCTTTCCAGGGAAAAGGAAGTTAAACTGTAAGACTTGTTGCCCAAGTTGAAAGTTCCTGTTCAGAATTTTCTTGTCATGGTACAATTTAGCTTTGTGCTTGTATGACTTAGAAGATTCATAAGCTTGCAATCTCATTTCCTCTAGTTCATGCAGTTGAACCTTTCTTTTCTCCCTTGCAGCCTTCAAGTCATAGTTCAATGCTTTCAAAGCCCAATATGCTTTATGCTCCAATTCTACTGGGAGATGACAAACCTTACCATAGACAAGCTGAAATGGTGAGAACCTAATTGGAGATTTAAAGGCAGTCCTATACGCTCATAATGTGTCATCTAGCTTCATAGCCCAATCCTTCCTAGAACTAGCCACTGTCTTCTCTAGGATCTTCTTCAACTCTTTATTGGATACCTCAGCCTGCTCATTGGTTTGAGGGTAATAGGGTGTAGCCACCTTGTGCCTCACATTATAGTGCTCCAAAACTTTTTTGTAGTTGAGCATTGCAAAAATGAGATCCACCATCACTAATCAGTACCCTTGGTGATCCAAACCTGCAAAAAATAATCTTCTTCAAAAATTTAATGACAGTTATGGCATCATCTTTTTGCACTGCACTAGCCTCCACCCACTTTGAAACATAATCTACTACCATGCCAATATATTCATTTCCAAAAGATGATGGCAAAGGGCCAATGAAATCTATTCCCCAACAATAAAAAACTTCTACTTCTAAGATGTTTTGTAGGGGTAGCTCATGCCTCTTGGAAATTGTTCCTGTTCTCTGACACTTATCACAACTCTTGAAATGTTCATATGCATCTTTGAACAAGGTTGGCCAGTAAAATCTAGATTGAATAACCTTTGCTGTTGTTCTCTCTCCATTATAATGGGCTCCATATGGTGAGTTATGACAATGCCAAAGAATATCTTTAATCTCAGCTCCAATGACACATCTCCTTAGTAAGCCATTAGCACCTACCTTAAACAGATACGGATCATCCCAAACATAGAAATTAGAGTCCCTAAATAACTTCTTCCTTTGGTGCCAATTGTACTCTTCCGAGACAACCCTTGTTGCCTTGTAATTTGTCATATCAGCAAACCAGGGCCTTTCACTCACTGCAAACAACTTTTCATCTAGAAATTCTTCTAAGATCTCATTTTCTTGACTAGTCACTTGTTCATTGATAAGCCTTGATAGGTGATCAACAACATGATTCTCAGCAATGACCCTCAAGTTCCATTTTTCCCTAATTTGGTTTCACTTTTCATTGTTCATTGTCATTGCCTCAAAAGCTTATTCTCACTTTCTCAAGCCCAAAATCTTGAAAAACTCAAAATACTCAGATTGTGTAATTGTGAGAAAGTAAAAGAGGTAATATCTAGTGATGACGGTGAAAAGGTGTCTACCATTTTTCCTAAAATGAAATGTCTTGTGCTCAAGGATCTTCCAAAGTTTGTCAACTTTTGTCAAGAAGGAGGATTTTTTAATTGGCCTAACTTACAAACAGTAATGGTGAAAAATATTCCAAGCATGAAAACATTTTTGAGAGAATATCATCTTAATACACCATTGTTGAGATCAGTGCATATAACATTTGCTAAGAAACTTTGGCTTGGAAATTTGAACAAGACCATATCATTTATTTACGACAATCTAGGTGTGTAAATTTTAATGTTATATGCCAAAATTTAAAAACTTGTAACATAATAGTGTTACTTTTACAACTTGTTTTTATATACACGATATATATCATTTGTTTTATAAAAGATATCTCCCATGCAACATATGTATTGTTCTTAATTTAAATTGTTAGATGACAACAATTACCTTTTGATTATATTAAATTATTTCAAGTTTTTTCAAAAAAGAAAACTACTAATTATTTTGATAAAAATGGTTTAGGATCCGGTCTGAGTTTATTTTCCTCAAGATGCGATTTCAACACCCATTGTGACCATTAAAATCTTATTTTGATGAGTATACCTACTCAAGAAGACCCCTTGATGCCAAAGGTAAAATTATTCTAGTGGGTTTCTATTGGGCCTCAATTTAGCAAGTAAAATTATGAGGCAAATTATTGGTTTATTAACTTGATAAATTTGGTTTACCTTTCAAATTTTTTCAATATCAGGAATGAAACTTCAAGGAAGAATATGAAGACTACATATTAAATAGAAGAGATCAGAGAAAAGGCTTCAAAGTTATATTAATCAATTATAAACATATACATTGCATTAGCTTTTAGATGTAATATTATTCGTACTTTGTGTATAAAAAAATATAATTCATACGTCACTATAAAAACAATGTAATTCATACATACATAAATATTTTTAGGATAACATAAGTTTTTAAATGTTTAAGATACATACATAACTGATTTTTGGTTTAAAGGTGAATTTTCATTATAGTCAATTGGTAGGGGTGAATGTTGTTGATGAATGGGTAATGGATCCAATAGTTATTTTGAATTGTAAGGTTGGAGTCCTACTGATGGAAATCCGTTTGGAGAGACTAGATTGATGTAGTTCCTCCTCCAAGTTCCTTGAACGAATCTTTTCCTTCTTGGTCTCCTCCTAGCTTTGTACAATGGCTTCCAAAGGTGTTAGAAGCCATCTTCAAACACACATGGAAAGGTAAAGAGCCCCCTTGGAGATGCCACACTCATGGAGTCATAAGTCCCTCCAAATCTCACCGCATTCAAGAGAGGATAAGAGAAATGGAACAAGTTTTAAGGAGAGAAACAAGCTTTGAGAGAGGATTAGGAAAAATGCATCTAATTCATTAATACTCAAAGTTAAAGTTCAGCCAAATCAAAGAAATCCTATATATAGGAATTTGGTATATTATGGTGCAAGCTAAACTTACCATAGTCAAGTGTAACCATGGTTTGCTATCTTGTACTTAAGCTAACCAATCCTAGTTATCTTTCTACAAGTCTATTTAGTTGTCTAGAAGTTTATGGAACAAGTTAAGTTAATCCTAGTTTAAGAATAACCTAGGTTAGCTTAAGTTGACTCCAACTACCTAATTTAATTATTACAACTACTAGACTAATAATTACTTTGACTAGTTTGTTAAGATGTCACTATCAAGGCCATGCGACTTATTTAACATGCTTGGATGGCTTGTTCATTAAGCATGGGCATCCAAACCACTTGCTTTGGCAAGTGGACATCCAATCTTAATGGGCTAGAAAAATGTTTGGGCCATCGAAGCCCAAATAAGTCTATGGCCTAAGCTAATTACACCTCCCCTAAACTATTAATTACACCTTTAAAGAAGAATAGAAGGACAAAAATTCTTATACTACTTGAGCCAAAATACATGGTGAAAAATATCCTATACAATCAATACTAAAAATGTAAAACAACAATAGGAGTCCTTAAGGTAGGATACACTTCCAAATGTAGGGTACCCTACAAAATAAGGGTAAATGCCCTATAATTTTTCAGACCATCTTTATCATCCTTTATCCTTTTTGGTTCTTTTCCTTCCAAAGGGATAATTAGGAAGTAGGTTTCCATCATCCCCTCCCTCTTCAAAAGGATTTTCCCTCAAATGAAGTGGTTGTTCCACATCAACAACATCACCTACAAGAAAAACATGAGGCAAATCATTAAAGATTATATATTCATATAATATGTGTACAAAGTGCACTGTATGAGGAATTTCTTGTATAGTCGTTAAAAAGGTCTCTAGACTAGGAAGGATAGACTCTCTAAGAATAAGGATAGGATCCTTACTATTGTGTAGTTTGTAGTGGAAACTAAAACCTAAAAAGGTAAAACTAGTAAAACTACTATCTTTCTTCACAAACCCTTCGGAAGAGACACTTTGTTCCTTACTCTTCTCCAAAATTTGTGTTTCTTTTTGTTTCTTTTCTTTTTCTATGGATGGTTCTCTTTTAATGTAATTCTTGGAAGAGTACTCTTCTTCATTTATGTTCTTAGGGTGTAAAAAGGTAGAGGATTCCTTCTTATGAGAAGTTTTCCTTTTGATTTGTTGCTCTACCCTAATGCAAAGTTGGACCAGTTCACTTAAATCTCTATAGGGTAAAATTTCAACCCTATCTCTAATCTCAAGATTAAGTCCACTTTGGAACCTAGCAATGGTGGTTTTTTTTATCCTCCCTAATCCCTACCCTTATCATATAGAGCTCCATGGTTTGTCTATACTCTTCTACACTAAGGTTTCTTTGTTGGAGTCTTTGGAGCTTGTCCATTAACTTCCTAGCATAGTATAAAGGTATATGCCTTCTCCTTAAAGTGTTGCTAAGCTCATTCCAATGTTGAATTGGAGGGTCATCTCTAAATCTTTTCTCTCTTTCTAAGGAGGTCCACTAATACATGGATTTCCCTTGAAAGCTCAAGGTAGCCATGTGAACCTTTTTCTCTTCACTCACTTTGTGACAAGTGAAGAGTTGTTCCACCTTTATCTCCCAATCTAGATATTCTTCTATGTTGTCTCTACCATAGAAGTGGGAAAAGTCAGCTTTAGGTTCTCTATGTTCATGCCTAGGCTTTTGTTGCCTTGGGGGCCCTTTGATGGAGGACCATCCTTGGAGCTTTATGTGTGACCCATCATTAAGTCCATGACTAGGAGATTGGAGGAGGATAGGGGAGCTAACACCCCTAGAGACATGCTTCTTATGGCTAAAAACTATGATCATTATCCTAATCCTTGTTAGCATAGAATTTTTTTATTCCTATTTTGCCATTGTCTTTAATTTCCCATTTTTACCCTTATATTTTGGGTATCTTAGACATAGGATTTATTTTACTTGTATTTCTTATTTTACCCTTGTATTTTGGGATGTCTTAGTCATAGGATTTATTTTTATTTATATTTTCCATTTTACCCTTGTATTATGGGGTGCCGTAGATGATAGGATTTTTATTTTGTAGCTAGGGTATTTTATAAGGGTGAGAAACTAGGCCTAGACATATTTTTGGTGAGTATTGAATTTATTTTTGGACTTGGAAAGGCTTAGGCCCAAGAGGAGGGTACCTAGGTAGCATGGTCTTATCATGCACCTAGTTGTAGCTTAACCAAGCCAAAGATTCCATCCTTGGCCACCAAGTAGGCATCAAATTAAGGTTGCATGTGGCATGAATTTGTGTTGCATTTCCATCACATTTAGCATGGAAATGTACACACTTTATGACCTAGCTGTCACCCTAAATGTGTACCCATTACATCACACCCTAACCTATATATACGCTAGGTATTGCTTCATGTAATCACTTTGGATATTGAATATAGAGAGCCTTTGTGCCTTTATATTTTTTCTTAGTCTCTCTTGGCTAATTTCGGCCAAACCCTACCGATCTCCACCCTTGAGAGAAAAATCCTAGAAGTGGCCTTCATCACCCATGGAATGAGCCAAACCCTAGAGTACCCTCTCAAACCTTTCATCAAACACCTTTCCCTCATCGTCCATTTTTGGTCTCCCTTCTAAGAACACGCCCAACCTTGAAGAACTTTGATCCAAAGAGTTAAGGAGTCCTTCTCATTG